GGAGCTGAAACTGGATTTGGGGACTTTTCAGCGCCCAAAGCGTGCTTGGGTGCTGTGCTCACTAATCTCTGACAATGGAAAGACCTTTTGTGGCCAATAAGGTCTCCAGAGAAATTAATATCAGAAATTCTGTTTTGTTAGCCATAACGCAGCTTACAAAGCATCTGGGACTTGCTGAGAGAGACCAGGTTTCCTGGGGTTCGGAGCAGTGAATTCCATTCTGGATCGTGTGTTTTGTCATGGGGATAACGTGAGCTATTCTCGACATTAAATTCGAAAACATCTACTGAGATTGAAAAGTCTTAGAATTGCTTCACATCCCTCATTTTTATCATACAATTCATACTTGGGTAAATCACTGTTTTTCATTAAGTGCAAGTATTTTGTGTACCAGGGAGCTGAGGAACCCGGTGGCCCAGCAGCAGTACAGGAACAAAGAAAAAAGTGTTTCAAAAAAAAGAAAAAGCCTCAGAAGTGGTAGAACTCCGACTGTGGTGACTGCATTCATTTCCACGGGAGAGCAGTAGAGGTTTGCGCTGTTTCTTTCGCTCATTTGGACCGATGCGAAGACAGGAACTGTGCTTTGAATGCGTATGCTGCCTTGTCGTTTTAGGTACTAAGCTACTGGGTGTGTGCAGGGATGACAAGAAGACTTCAGCCCCACACATCGTATTTTCATGTCGGTTCTGTTTAAGACATCATCCTCCTAAGATAATATTTAACATAGGGCAGCCAGGGCATAGGCACTTAAAGCACAAATTTATTTATAAACGTGGTATACTGGGTGTGTGCAGGGATGACAAGAAGAAAAGACTTCAGCCCCACACGTTGTATTTTCGTGTCGGTTCTGTTTAGACATCATCCTCCTAAGATAATATTTAGTACTGGGTGTGTGCAGGGATGACAAGAAGACTTCAGCCCCACACATCGTATTTTCATGTCGGTTCTGTTTAAGACATCATCCTCCTAAGATAATATTTAGCATAGGGCAGCCAGGGCATAGGCACTTAAAGTACAAATTTATTTATAAACATGGTACAAGGAAAGAAAAGCTGTGTGCCTTTTTTTAATTATGATGAAATTACATCATTTTAGCAAAAAAATAATTTTATAAAAAGACAATGTGTACTTTCCTACTCCTCAAGTGAAATTTTCGTTTAAATTTTTGGAAATTATTCTTATGAGAAGGGGTGGGGTTTTTTTTCATATTTCTCTTTAGCAGTTATCCACAGAGGAAAAAAAGCAATTTCATTGTGTTTGCCTGCTCTCTGCCATGGATTGCAATCTTGACCTGACACAGGAGCGTTGGGGGATGCTGTCTTTCAGAATTCCTCTCTCCCTTTACGTCATACATCGGTTCCCATTTGCCTCAGTTGTTCGTGTTGCGGAAGACACTGAGAGCCTTTGGGGAGGGGGTTATTGGCTTGTGGTTTCTTTACTGAGCCTGAATAAGTGTTGTAAGAAGACTGCAAACAGCCAAAGCTGAGGTGCATGCGTTCTGCTCTCGGGACAAGGTTGGCAAGCCAGATCGAATTGCAGTGGACTTGTAAGCCAGACCTCACCGTCTTATTCCTGCGTGATACTGCATCACGTGAGGGCAGCTGTAAACAGCTGCAGATTATTGTGAGGATGGAAATACCAGTCATCTTGAACTGTAGCAGAGATCTTTATGTAGGGTTTTACAGTTACTGCCATCGTAGTTGGCAAATTGCACAAATACATTAGCTCAAAAGACGTACGTCTGGCAGATGGCAAAAGTGGGTCAAGGTGTCTGCTGACAGCCTTTAAGGGAAGGGGTCTCTGAGGATGTGCTATTTTTATCCTGTTTCTATTAGCAAAATTGATAGATGTGGTTTTCTTTCCCAGCTGGAGCGCGTCCGTCACGGAACAGGCAGGCCGTTGCCATCAGACTTGCAGTCAGCCTGATGAGTACGGGTAGAAGAGAGCCATTTTCCTTGTGTTTTATTTCTAGTCACCTGGAGGGTTTCTAACCTGGATAAATGAAGTATTTAAAAAGATGAACAATAGAAAAATTACCTGGGAGCCAAGTTTAAGTGGTATAAAAATGTCTCTTATTGACAAGTCTTACCACTGTGATCAAGTTTTATGGTGTGCACCTTGCAGTCAGTCTGAGATCAGAAACTTGGGGATGGATTAAAATAGAACAAGTTATGGAATTATATCCTAGTTGCTTGCCAGGAGATTAAGGGACCTTGATGACCCGTCAACTTAGTAAACTAATCAAGCATATGAAACAGCACAGAGTAACCTGATAGTATTGTCTTTGTAGCTTGAAAGCAGGGGCTGGCTGTCGTAACTATTAGAGTAAAATGCAGTTCACACTGCTGGTGAAAGAACTGCCTGAGAAAGAAATCCGTTTTCTGGATAATAAGAAAAATGATATGCCCTGTCCCTAGAAATACCAGTTGATTTGAACGTAAATTGATTCGCAGTTTACCAGGGAAGAAAATTAGCCCTTGAATTGGTATGGGATGAGAAGAGCTTAACTGAGACTTTACCCAGAGGAAGACGCTGTAAAAGCTTAATCCTGTGGTGCTTTATGTCTTAGAGCGCAACCGAAATCAAGCTAAAAACACAGGAGTGGTAGCAATACTTAGCTCAGTGAAGAGCAGTGTAGCCGTGAGCAACAAAACGTGTCAGACTTAGGAGGCTGGTTAGAAGGAGCCAGAGGTGCACAGCACAGCCTGGGAGTCCCCATGAGAACTCCCCAGACGTTTGGAGTGCTGCAGATACAGGGCTGCTAGCCGAGATCACGACAAAGCTGGGGCCAGAATGACAAAGCTAGGAGCTGTGTTTAAACTGCTGAAGTTTGGAGACGTTCACAGTCAGTCTTTTGCCTCAGGCCTATTGTAAAAATCTCTGCTGGTTTTAAGTAATGTGTAAATGGCTGGAGCTCAGTAATTATCCTTTGTTCACTCACTGAAGACTTTAAAGGTCTTTACTTTCTCTTCCCATGATCAGTGTGTTTTTAGGAAATTATTTGTCTAGACTGTCTACTTCTTTGCATTTTAGGTAAACATGTAATTTTCAATGTAATTTAGTAGTTTTGGTAGAATTTTCAACCAGCAAAAAACTGCTCGTTTACACAATAAAAATAACAAGGAAGCGTACTTCTGTGGTGTTTTGTGTACTGTATAATGCACAGCATGCTCTGCTAATCGTGATTAATCTCAAAAGTGACAGAGATGACCCTTATTTAATGAGGTTAAAAGACTTGGCAAAGATCACACAGCAGAGTGCTCGCCCACCTTATGGCAAGTGCTAAGCTTTAATCGTTAAATGACGTAGTTTTAACAAGGCTGTAAATAGATGTCCTGTTGCTGCTTTTGAGTGAATATTTTTCTAAACATCCTGTTTCTAGAGACCTTTTTTCCTACTTTTAAATATTATTTTGCCTTAGCGAAGGTTACGGCATTAGAGTTTGTTTTAGTAGTATGAAACATCTTAAATAAATGTGTATTGAAACGAGAATATAGTGGATTGACATTACCAGGAGAATACTCAGAAATTCTAAGTCCAAAGTAACTTTAAGGGGGACTTGCTAGAATATATGATGCTGTGGTTTTTTAAATATCTTTCACTAAATCAGAGACCTTGGAAAAATGAGTACATCGTGATCGTAGCTGGAAAAAGCCACCCCTGAATGCTGGTAATCAGGTGGTTTGAGTAGTGCTTATGTCAGACCTGGATTCTCCCACCAGAACTAGAAGACGTGGATGTGTGGCGGGCTGCAGCGCAGAAAAGGGGTCCCACGCAAGGAGATCCATGCTGTCGAAAACCTGAGCTTGCCCTGCAGCCGCAGCTACGGCCTGCCCGCAGGGACGCGCGGCCCGCGCTGTTTCCCTTTCCAGGAGAGCCAGGGAGCAGAGCCCGGGAGGTTCATCGCGGCCGGAGAAACAAAACCGGCCAGCACGGATCTCCCCTCGGCATGAGATGCTGCCAACGCCGGAACGCGGGCGTCCGGGTGTTTGATTCTTGGATCTCTCAGAGGGAACGAAACGCTGGAGGTGAAACGGTGAAGTGGTAAATTACTGAAGGGTGTTTGGACTCAGAGATCTAACACAGTGTGTATATATATACACTAATACAGTGTAACCCGCAAAAAAAAATTGCCGTCTTTAAAGAGGAAACTTAGAGTTCAGTACGATAATGAGATTTTTTATTAAAATATTTTTGTGTGCCTTTTGTTAAATAACAAAGGAGACTCAGCAGCTCAGAGTTAAAAGCTTAAAAAAGGAATTTCCCCAGCACCCCCGCTGGAAATAACTCGGAGGAAACCGGTAGCGGGAGGCGTGAAGCGGCGGCAGCGTTCGGCGCTCGGTGCCGCCGGAGGCGAGGCGGC